TTCATTTACCATTTGTGAAACACTTCATTTGAACTCAAACTGATTTCCGAACACGTTACTACGTTATGTTTTCCTTTTAAAAACAGTTACTGATATCATTTAATTATAATTCTGCAACACTCAATTTCATAATAGCTGATTTGTTGTCACATGTTAGTCCTGGCCCCCTTACTATTGCTTTGCCTGCTTTCTACCCTCAATAGCAACATAACGCTGTTTGCACCAATCACAGTGGAGGTTTTACTGCTCAAAATGTGAAGTACATTTTTAAACAAGGGGTCCTTCGACATCAGAGAAGCAGAATTCTTCCTTCTGGACAACAATCATTGATTTTTGTTGGCTTAAATTACGACTCACTGTGAGACTTTATCAGCCGTATCTAGCTGGATAAATTTAATAACGTTATCCCCATGAGTTGATTGAAACTCTGGCTGACTTTTTATCATTTCAGCTCTCTCATTTTTAAACAACAATCTCGTATAAAGGGGGTTTTACATGTGCAGTTAATGGCTCCATGCATGCTTTGTGCTAAAAGTCTGAGGCACTGTCAGCTATTGTTAGCTAATAAAGCAAAATGCTGTTTGGTTAGCTTACATGTCTGTATGTTTTTAGTTTTAACATAACAAGAGCTTAGGGTAAAGACAAAGGACTTACGATGTACAGTGTTTCCCAATCGTAATGCTATTTTAGGTAGCCTAGGTTAGCTTAATGCAACTTTCCAAGAGAGAAGAAAAGCATAGCAGACATGCTAACATTAGCAAAAACTGATAGCATCAAACTGATAGCATCAAGGACTGACTTTGGCATAGTAGAGAGAGCAGCAGAGAGCAGCGCCTCTAAGTGGGCTCAAGTCCCGCCTCCCCTTCAACAAGGCAGCACAAGAGATTCTCAATTCCACCTCTGAGGACCTCTCCAGAGATGCATGGTTGGCGGCTGCTTGGAGGTAGGAGTGGGAGCTAGCCGGGCCCTCCCGCATCCATCGCTACATCTGGGACCCAGGAGATGGCGCCGTAGGAGGAGACGACCTACCACGCCGGCAATGGACCACACTAAACCGCCTACGAACTGGGGTCGGTCGCTTCAAAACATCAATGAAGAAGTGGGGCCTGGCAGACAGTGCTGCATGCGAGTGCGGTGACCCTGAACAGACTATATAACAACCACCTGCCCTTTATATAGACCACCCTCTGAAGCCAGCCTCTTCGACGTAGGACCAGAGATGCGGGCATGGCCACACGACACAGAGTTGAACCTCTGACGTTACACGAAAGAAGAAGAAGGCACAGTGTAGAAATCTTACCCAGTGTTGCCCATAATATGCATTTTTGTTATTATTTTATAGACTAACCTGTAACTATTAACCACTTTATAATCTGCTCTGTTGCTTCTAGAATCCTGCTTAGCCCAACATGCTAACAATAGCAATTATGTTAGGGCAATAAACAAAGAGCATTGAGCTACTTTGAATTAGTGATTACATTTTCTTTCTAATATCTGGTCCAAACAACCAACTTATTGTCTTTTCATTATGTCATACAAATATCCAAAAACATATTGAGGGAATGCAGGGAATGCTTTGTGTTTATCTGCTTTGTTGTAAGAAAAAAGAAAAGGAAGTATCCTTATTTAAATATGTAACAGGTGTCTTTGTAATGAAATGCACTCGCGTGCCAAAGTAGTTACAGGCCTCAATCGTCTACTGCAACACAGAAACAAACTTGATTTGGCTAGTGTTTCCTCACGGTGATAATCTGCTGTGTCTACACCGGCATCAGACCACAGGTGCAGCAGGACAGGTGGAGCAGCACTCTACAGGAGGAGGGTCAGAGCGAGGGGAGAGATGAATCTTCTGATGCCGCTGTTCACACACAGGGAGGCATGACTGCAGTTCGCTAAAACAGGCGGGTGGAAGCACAGACATTTCAGCTCGCTATTTCCTCTCCGGTGAGGGAGCAAAGACTCTCTCGTTCTGTCTCTCGCTATTTTTAGCCGCCCCTGAGATGAGAGACGACCCACCACTGCGGCGGTGGCAGGCGTAAGTGGGCGATGGTATAGAGAGAGCCAGAAAAATATTGATGGAAAGACAAAAGAGTGTACAAAGCAGAGCGACGGAAACTTGCAGGAAACCGGAAAAGAAAAAGACAAAAGATGAAAGAAAGCGTTATTTGAATGAGTGTTCAAACCCAATGTTTGATCATGTTCTGGTGGTCCTACCCATATCCTGCTGCCTCACCTGAGAGCAGACATGTCTATCTTTGGTGCGTTAAATCATGATTGAGGAGAGAGACATGTAGGAAAGAGCTTGATGTGCAGGACGAGAGAATATATAGAGGTTTACATTGCAGAGGAGGGCATTGAGCGACAGGGAGAGGCACTACAAGAGGCTCTAGATTCACCCTGCAAGCAACAGGGTCGTCGGATCACTCTCAAAACACCTTATGAAGCTAGAGAAAGAGCAGCTGATGTAATCTACTAAATACAACACAGACAAATCCTTTATGCTGATGGATTCCCCCATTCATGCAGGTACCTTGTTAGCTTGCAAATACATGCTAATTGGCTAGCTATGACTACATATAAACACACAAACACAAATATAGTACGTTCATTCAACGGATGTAATCTCCATCCAGGCATTGTGTTTGTCTTTCAACTAAAAGTTGTAAGAACTTGGGAAGCTAAGGATGTTTTTAATTGGTCTCATTATTTTTCTACTTCCTGAAAAGTTGCTGATGGAAACATAGACTGATGACCACAGGAACTGTCTGTTTCACGGACAGCCAGCCAACCAATCTACTCAAAATCTAGCGTGTAAAATGTCCTATTAGAAGGAATCAAATCCATCAAAACATTGAAGCCTCTAAACCTTTATTTCTGTACAGCTTAAAACTGACAAAGCCTACTCTTAATGTAAAGGAGCTTTCTTTTGATCCCAAAAGAATGAACAAGCACCATTTGACTACAGTAGGTGAGATGTTGCTTTATTATCGAAAATACAGGCATTGTTTGTTTTGGCTGAACAACAATGACTTATTACAACATTTACACTGTAGATGCCTACCCTACACCAAAGACTAGGTCAGTGGTTCCCAACCTGGGAGGAGTTGAGGCCAAATATCATATTTAGACTTTTTTTTTTTTTTTTTACATATAAGGCAATACATGATTGTCACTAAAAGCCTTGTCTCTACATTACAATAAAACATACACAATTATTGATTCATTCATTTGAATAAAAATTCAAGTTAGAAACTAAAGGCATAAAAAGACAGAAATGTATAATTCTTTAATAGAAATGTTTCTTCTGCCCGTAAAGTGTCCAAACCAGGCTTTTCTGGATAAGTGCATTTTTAAAACACAGTCATTGTCCATGCCGGTTTCAGATTATTTCTCACAGTTGCTCCGATCAGATCGGTCTCCTCCATTTAGATTATTTACGACTTTTGAATCTACATAAACACATCGGTAAAATCCGGCTTACTTTGAGCATGTGTTTTAAACAGTTTAATCCCTTTGTGAATTGTTTCCACTTGCGCCGTCCTTTAATTTCTTCATACAGCGGGAATCCAAATTAATTAATCCTGAGTCCAATAACCATCAAAGTCACTCCAATAGTGCTCCTTAATTACGCTTTCATCCTCCTTTAACAAAATACTTCACATTCATCCAGTTTGTGACAGTTGTTGTAGCATTTTGAGACTTTTAAACTTTAATTACCGCCGTTTTTTCTGGAGATTTCAACATTTTGACTTTTTTGTGAAAATATCAACATTTTGACTTTTTTCAGAAAATCACAAATTTCTGACTTTTTTCTGAATATCTGACTTATTTCTGCAAATTTCGACATTCTTACTTTTTTCTGAAAATCTAACATTTCTGACTTTTTTCTGAAAATCTAACATTTCTGACTTTTTTCGAAAATTTCAAAAACAGTATCTAATATGTAGCCCGGGTGTAAATAGCATTGCTGGCTACGGACACCCGGGTGTTTCTGAAAATATCAACATTTTGACTTCATTCTGAAAATGATTACTTTTTTTGATGACTGGGTTATGTGTTTATAAATCGCTGATTAATGCAGACAAGACCAGTATAAATGCTCACAGTACCAGGGCCGTCCCTCCCTACAGGCTGATCACGCAGACTGCGTGGGGCCTCACCTTGCGGAGGGAGCCTCAACTGAGCCGTAAATGTGGCGCACCTATGTGCTTATGCGGCGCAATTAGTGTGGCGCGGCATGGTTTTGCCGCTGCGAGGCTCTACTAGTACCCCCCCCCTTTGCGTGGGGCCTCAAGTTGGCCAGGGACGGCCCTGCACAGTACCGTAAGGCCCATCTACAACTATAATCACCCTTCAGTCCTTATGAATTCTCCTTCTAATATTTCCTTGACCTATGTGTATATTTCCATTCAAATGCTCAACGTTTTACTGTGATACCTTGTTTCAACAGTTAATCACTTTATTTTAAATGTTTGTATTCATATTTTAATTTGTATTATATTTTATCTTTATTTTCTATCTTGTGTGAATCCTATTTTTCACTCTGACTCTGACTCACTATAAACGCCTGAATTCACCGACGGGGGAAAGTATAGTTCCATCTCCTCTCATGGCCTTTCTCATCGAGTTCAAGGAAAAAACTCTCACATTTCTGACTTTTTTCTGAAAATCTAAAATGTCTGACTTTTTTCTGAATATTGACTTTTGGTCAGAAAAAATATCAACATTCTTACTTTTTTCAGAAAATCTAACATTTCTGAATTTTTTTCTGAATATCTAAAATATCTTATTTATTTCTAAATATCTCAAATGTTTGACTTATTTCTGAAAATCTCAACATATTGACTTGTTTCTGAATATCTAAAATATCTGACTCATGACCTTTCCCCATCGAGTTCCAGGACAAGAGACAAGGGGACGACAGAGCATCATTATTTTCAGTCAAAGACCAAGAGAGGAATTCAATCAAGAAGACGGTGTAAATGAGAGGAGATCTGTACCTGCTCGTGGTGCTCGATGCCCATACTGATGGTATTGATGAGGATAGCGATCATGATGCCTCGGTTGAAGTATTTGCTCTCCACGATTCCCCAAAGCTTCATCGTGATGTCATGCCATATCTCCTTGCATCCCTTCTTTCGGCTACAGCACTCCTGTTTCTCTGCACCTTCCTGGCCTGTATTGCCCTTCTCCTTGGTGTCAGAGTGCGTCCCCTCCCGGTCCGTTTCCTCTACAGCTCCCTCCTCTGTTTCCTCTTTCACCGCAGTACGAGTTGGTCCAGTGAGCGACAGAGCAGCGGCACATTGAGGGCAGCCGTCAGTCGCAGAGGTGTGGTCCGGTTTACTACGATGGGGACAGGGGGGACCTACAATAAAGCAAAGAGAGGGGTTAAACAAGCAGTTTATCAAGCGGTGCATCTCCCTGGTTCCCTCAACAAAAGCAAAGAGATTCTTCCATTGGATTTTGGAAGAAATAATCTCCGTTTAAAACAAACGTTTATGAGATTTACATGTTTAGTTCAGCAGGATAATCTCCACATATTAACAGGATGTTATGATTTTTGAAGTAAGAAGCTACTGTAGGCTATAAAGGAACATCATCACGGTCACATGACTTCACGGTCACAACTGCTAAGCTAAAGGCGGCTAATGTTGGGCTATACAGGAACTACAGCACGGTCACTTGGACTTCACGTCACCAACCGCTAAGCTAAAGGTGGCTAATGTGGGGCTATAATGGAACTAAAGCACGATCACATGACTTCACGTCACCACCTCTAAGCTAAAGGCGGCTAATGTTGGGCTATAAAGGAACTACAGCACGGTCACTTGACTTCACGTCACCACCGCTAAGCTAAAGGTGGCTAATGTTGGGCTATACAGGAACTACAGAACGGTCACATGACTTCACGTCACCACCTCTAAGCTAAAGGCGGCTAATGTTGGGCTATAAAGGAACTACAGCACGGTCACTTGACTTCACGTCACCACCGCTAAGCTAAAGGTGGCTAATGTTGGGCTATACAGGAACTACAGAACGGTCACATGACTTCACGTCACCACCTCTAAGCTAAAGGCGGCTAATGTTGGGCTATAAAGGAACTACAGCACGGTCAGTTGACTTCACATCACCACCGCTAAGCTAAAGGTGGCTAATGTGGGGCTATAATGGAACTAAAGCACGATCACATGACTTCACGTCACCACCGCTAAGCTAAAGGTGGCTAATGTTGGGCTATAAAGGAACTACAGCATGGTCACATGACTTCACGTCACCACCGCTAAGCTAAAGGTGGCTAATGTTGGGCTATAAATGTCACGGTGTGTGAAGCAGGTAGGACCCAAATGCAGAATAAAGTGACAATTCCTTTATTTCAAGGCTAGGTGCTAAACAACGACAAAACAGAACACTCACCGACGAACTAGTCATGACAAAAGACGAACCGACAAAGACAGACAGAAAAACCAGAACTTAAATACACACAAGACTAATCACAGAAACAAGACACAGGTGAGGAGGGAGGAGAAAACACAGGGACACCAGGTGAACACAATCGGGTAAATTAGACACACCAGGGAAACTAACGACCGGGAACCACAGACAGATTTAAACAAGACACAACGCAGACAGAAACAGGCAAGACAGGAAGTGAAGACCTTTCAAAATAAAACATGAAACAAGACAAGACAAAACACCATAAAGACAGATCGTGACAATAAAGGAACTACAGCACGGTCACATGACTTCACGTCACCACCGCTAAGCTAAAGGCGGCTAATGTTGGGCTATAAAGGAACTACAGCACGGTCACATGACTTCACGTCACCACCGCTAAGCTAAAGGTGGCTAGCGTTGGGCGTGATGATGTTTAGTCATCTCATTTAGACACTTGTTAGCAACCACCGTTTTTAAACTCACCAGTGGGATATCTACTGACGTCATTTATGTTGTAGAATAAAACATTACAATCTCTTCAGCTTGTGTTAACCACAGACCTTATTTTAGGATAACAACCATTCAGAAAACAATTGACTTAAAGGCCAGGTAACAGTTATGCTAAACTGTTAAAATGCTTCCTGGTTTCATGAAGGTTTAAAACATGTTTACATACCGTGCCTCATCACTGCTCTCTTCTCAACTCCTCCCCTTCCATTGGCCTTCCTCTCTCTCCTTTCCCCTCCTCCTCCTCTTCTTCCTCTTCCGACGCCCTTAAATCCACGAGGTTTCCCCCGCAGGGTGTTGAACAGGAAGACAGTTTGTCTCCGGGCCTTGCGGATCATGTGACAGACGAGCTGGAAGACAGCCTCGTAGCAGTCTCCAGGCTCGCTGTCCAGAGTGGAGTTAGAGGAACATCTCGCTCGCTGCTCCTGCATCAGCTGGTGCTCCCGCTGCTTGGTCTCAGAAAACTGGGTGGCGATGACCACGAGGCACAGGTTGATCATGAAGAAGGAACCAATCTGAGAGAGGGAGACAAGAGGCATATAGTTATAAAAGACCCAATTATTGTTTATTCCAAATCAGAATCAGAATACCTTTATTAGTCCCACAGAGGGGACATTTGTTACAGCAGAAAAGAGCCACACACAGCTTCATGTTAAAGGTCACCTATTATGAAAAATCCACTTCCTCATGTCTCTTCTACATCAGCATGTGTCCCCTCTTCTTCATGTCTCTTCTACATCAACATGTGTCCCCTCTTCTCCATCAACATGTGTCCCCTCTTCTTCATGTCTCTTCTTCATCAACATTTGTCCCCTCTTCTTCATGTCTCTTCTACATCAACATGTGTCCCCTCTTCTTCATGTCTCTTCTACATCAACACGTGTCCCCTCTTCTTCATGTCTCTTCTACATCAACACGTGTCCCCTCTTCTTCATGTCTCTTCTACATCAACATGTGTCCCCTCTTCTTCATGTCTCTTCTACATCAACATGTGTCCCCTCTTCTTCATGTCTCTTCTACATCAACATGTGTCCCCTCTTCTTCATGTCTCTTCTACATCAACATGTGTCCCCTCTTCTTCATGTCTCTTCTACATCAACATGTGTCCCCTCTTCTTCATGTCTCTTCTACATCAACACGTGTCCCCTCTTCTTCATGTCTCTTCTACATCAACATGTGTCCCCTCTTCTTCATGTCTCTTCTACATCAACATGTGTCCCCTCTTCTTCATGTCTCTTCTACATCAACATGTGTCCCCCTCTTCTTCATGTCTCTTCTACATCAACATGTGTCCCCTCTTCTTCATGTCTCTTCTACATCAACATGTGTCCCCTCTTCTCCATGTCTCTTCTACATCAACATGTGTCCCCTCTTCTTCATGTCTCTTCTACATCAACATGTGTCCCCTCTTCAGGTAACCCCCCCCCCCGATCACCTGAATCTCCTCTAGAGCACCATTGAGTTCTTTGTAACCAAATGTCTCTCAGAGGGGCGTGGGGAGGGGCTCTTTATTTTCATCTAAAGTAACAGACAGAGAATCAGCACTTTGGAAACAGGACTGAAACAGAGGGGATTATGGGTAATGCTGCAATGATCTGTTTGGTGTTTCAGCCAATCAGAGACAGGCTCTGGATATATCTGAGACCTGTGATATATTGATGAAAAACAGTATGATAGGGACCTTTGACTAAGAAGCCATTATCATATGGATCTAAGATCATGAAGAAGGAACCAATCAGAGAGAGAAGAGGCATACAGTTTCAAAGACCCAATTATCATGTATGTGTGAAATCTGAAAACACTTGGCGGTCAGTTTCTTCCACAAAGTCACACTGAATAAACTCTCAGCATGAGTTGATCTGCTGCTACGTCCAGCCTGGTAGCCCACTTGGCTGCAAATAATGCAATATGGTTACAAACAAAGCTGTGCAGATTTCAGGGATAACATTGATGATACTGCAATGTAACTCCTGCCTTTTTTCTTGAGATAAATACAGTATTTTGGTAACCGAAAAAACCTTATCAGCGGAAAATAATATTGTCTCCATGTCTTAAAACTGCTGAGTCATGTATCGCACCTCAAACAACAATTAAATCCCAAGTTACGGTTTCTTTACTTCGTCTACAGACAAACAAAATTGTAAAATAAACTCAGAAATCACAGTTTCAGTGTAAGCCGGCTGCCTGCCACTCGTCCTCTAGGACAGTGTTTTTCAAAGTGGGGGCCCCGACCCCCCGGGGGGCCGCCAGGGGGCGCCATGGGGGTCACGCAAAGTTTGAGGGAAAGGGGAATTGTTTTGTTGATGTTATTAATAACTGCATATCTATCAATCTTTGTGTCCTTTGATGCCAATCTTTTAATATTTTTTTGTTTTTGAATCACACGACCGCCCTTCAAGCCAATCAGAATCGAGCTGCCGCTACTGAGAGTGAAAATCTGCTCAGCTTTTGGAGCAAGTGAGAGCGAGTGAATGTTTCGCTCTGCAGCCGGATGAGAGCACGGATGTAGCAAATGTCGCAGAGTTGCTTGCATACATCAGATTTATATCAGAAGACAACTTTGTTGAGGAAATATTATTTTGCAAAGCACTGGAAGGTAGAACCACAGGAAGAGACATTTTCCAAGTTTTAGATGAGTACATCATCTCAAACGGACTTGACTGGTCTCGTTGTGTGGGTGTGTGTTCAGATGGGGCAGTGCGGCTACGACAGGCAAAGAAAGCGGAGTGACAGCTTCGATCAGGCAGAAGGCCCCAAATGTAGTGGCAACGCACTGCATGCTCCATCGCGAGGCACTTGTACACATCATGTAAAAAATAAAAATTGCAACAGGGGGTCCCGCCAGAGGATAATGCTATATGGGGGTCCTTGGCATGGCAACGTTTGGGAACTCCTGCTCTAGGAGACTTATCAGACATCATTTCCAATGTATTTAAATTACACTATAAATCGACGCCGATCATGGATCTCCAGTAACATGTCTTAATAGTTTGTCCGTCTGAACATCTTCGTTGAGCTTCTTGTAGATACAGAAAAATGCGGTTTTCTAAATGTTTTGATGTGAGTTGCCGAAATCTTCAGAATCCGTATTTACCGCCATTCAAATGACATCAATGTTTCCCCCCAAAAGTGAGCGGGTGCCGTAATTTCGCCCAGAAGTGACGCATGTGTTGCTCTCATCTATAGATGCTGTTGTTTTCAATCTCAGAGAATTGTCATCTCTAATGGAAGGAAAAGAAAAGACCACATTCACAATGGACAAGCATCACCTTGGATTTAGGGATTTGATCCAAGGCCCAAAAGTGTTGTCACGTACTATACTTTACAAAGACTAGGACTAAAGAGTGATAAAGTACAGGATGCTATTTGGCACAGCCCTGGTTCACAGATCAAACTCCCATTGAGTGTCTCCATAGCGTGGATGTTAGATGACTCACAGTTGGAGTACTTCCACCAATTGGACGGACATTAAACTATCTTTGATGAATCATCAGAACACCATTTTGAACATGTCACAGTCGAAGCACAACATACTCATAAAACAGCGCGATTTAGCAAAAATAATGTCAACTTTAAATGGGATTTTAAACTCAGGGATAACAACTCCAATTTCTCCAAACCTTAAGGTCACAGCAGATTGAGAAGTCTTTTTGCGTTTGCAATCAACAACATCATTCCTTTTGTTGCATTTTCCCATTATATTTAAAGTAATATTCCATTCCTTACACACTTAATGTAAACACTATCCTGCTTTACATCGTGTCGCCTTCAATAGTGTTTTATAGTCAGAGTTCATTGATGTTTTATCTTCACGGTCTACTGTATATTTTTCAACTTTTGAATGCCGTTTTAATTCTATTTTGAGATGTTTAAATTCTAGAGTTGTTTATTTCTACTTATGTGCAACGCCTTGTTTTGTTTTGTATGCTGCTGCAACGCAAACATTTCCCAATTTAGGATCGAATAAGTACCTCTTATCTCATCTAAACTAAATGCCACTAAATCCTCCACACTGGACCTTTTACTGGAACCAAAATGTACTTCTTTGTTGAAATATCTAGGTTTCGGAGCCAAACTGGAGAATTTATATTCACAAGTGTGTCGGAAAACTGTTAGAACCTTTGTTTTGCTTTCCTGTATGTTTGATATTTAACACACACTCTCTTTATAGCAGTTTTAACAGATGAAAAAGTCCCGAGAGAAGCAGACCTGATGTAGAGAGAGGGAGAAGGCTCTCTGTGAAGAATAGTGATTGTGAGCCCGATAACCCCCTCCTGCTCCTCCGCTGTGTCCACGACTACTGAGGAGCCGGATAAAAGGTGTGTGTAAGTCGATGTGTGTGTGTGAGCCTCAGTGTGTGTGAAGCTGCTCTTCATTGATCCAGAGCTTATTTGTGGGCAGACCGGCTGGTGTTCAAGCTCTCTGTTCTGGAGGTCTAAGAAAGCTCCCTGCAGCCGATCAGCACAAATCCCCTCAAATATTTATACCCACACTCTGCTGCAGCCGCTGAAACACAATTAGATTAGAGAGTGTGTGTGTGTGTGTGTGTGTGTGTGTGTGTGTGTGTGTGTGTGTGTGTGTGTGTGAGTGTGTGTGTGTGTGTGTGTGTGTGTGTGTGAGAGAGAGTGAGTTTGAGGAAGAGCAAAGAAATGTTAACAAAGAAATATCAAAATGTTAACTAAGAAATATCCTGATTACCAAAAATTCAAGCAACCCGTTTTTAACGTCAGCCTTTTAGTTCAAACATTTATTGCATCAATGATAGATATCATTGTTTATTGCTCACAAATGGAGCTTTCTTCGTAGTGTTTTTGTCATTTACCACAAAAGTAAGTGACTTACATTTGGGAAATGTATCTTAAAGGGTGCCAAATCTAGGTAGCTTACTTTTGGGGGTCTTAGAAATAGTTTACGGACACATTTGGTATCCAATACCTGTTTCAGAGTATTTTGTAATTGCCCATTGATTCTTAGAATTCATTAATGTTTTAATTACAAAGATCATACGTTTTATTCCGGGAACAGATGATTTCACAACTGCTAAAGTTCTGCTTTTCCCCTCAGCTTTTGAGGGTCACCACTTTAATATGATTCCTGATAAAGTGCCTTCCATTCTTTAGTCTTTAGAGGGAAGTTACCCATGCTCACACGCCTCCAAATAGTTAAGAAGGTTTTTACAGTTTTCTTAAGGTTTGACCTTTTCTCGACACAGAAAATTAAGAGATAATATAAAATAAATGTTGCTGCTGAAGGCCAAACATCTCTTTTTGCATGAAGCTCTGAAGACAAGATATCAAATCAAGTTTTATTTATAAAGCACATTTATAAACGATGTTTGGTGGAGCCAAAGTGCTGAACATATAATAGAACATAACCTACAGTAGAGACACTTTACAGCAAATACAACAGCACAGATTGTGAGGAATATCAGTATGAGAAAACGATACCCTCTGTCCTTAGACCCTCTGTCCTTAGACCCTCTGTCCTTAGACGCTCTGTCATCAGAACCTCTGTC